ATCCAGCCTGTGGCATGGCAGTCCGGCCACAGCTGGCCACAGTCACATGCCAGGGCAGGCATCTCCTGCATCCAGCTTAGGTTGGGGCTGGCCCTGGTGCTGGCTGGCTGCAGGCTCTCCCTGTAGAATTAGGGGCTATTGCCCCAAACAGGTGGAGGTGGGGTGAGCAGGTGAATTAGCGGATGTGCAATAGCTCCACAGGGAAACGGGGCAGACTGAGGGGGAGCACTGTGGTGGGTGGGCCAGGAAGGTCCCCCCTCATGGGGTCTACAGAGTCTAGGGGTTGCCCATCAAGATTCTCCCTTTAGGACGGTGCTGCGGCTCACTGGGCTAATCCTCCGCCTGCAGTGCCGGTACTCCGGGTTCTAGTCCCAGTTGGGGTGCCGGGAGTGCAGTGGAGGATGGCCCCAAGTGCTTGGGCCCTGCAGCCGCATGGGAGACCAAGAGGCAGCACCTGGCTCCCAGCTTCGGATCGCGCAATGCGCCGGCCGTAGCCGTAGTAGCCACGGGGGGTGAACCAACGGAAGACCTTTCTCTCTCTCTCACTGTCTAACTCTGCCTGTCAAAAAAAAAAAAAGACTCTTCCTTTATTGTGACTGACCTGGTCTCTGTGTCACTGCCCACTGCTCCCCTCCCTAACCAGCCCCTCAGACTGGCCAGGGACTCTGGTGTGGGTGTATTTACATTTTTATTTCATCTCCCATTCACTGGTTCAATCCCTAAATGCCTGCAATAGCTGGGGCTGGGCCAGGCCAAAACCAAGAGACAGGAACTCAATCCAGGTGTCCCATGTTGGTAGCAGGGACCCAAGTACTTGAGCCATCACCACTCCCCCTAGCATGGCATTAGCAGGAAGCTAGAATCAGGAATGGAGCCTGGACTTGACCCCAGGCGCTCTGAAATGGGACGTGGGTGTCTCCAGCAATGGTGCAGCTGCTCACCAAACACCCACCCCAGGTGTGAGCATTTTCAAGTATCCCCAGAGTTCGAATTTGCAGCCAGATGGGGAATCACTGTTGCTTGTTTCATGGCATCTGCCTCCTCCTGCCGGGGGCTTCTGTGGCCGTCACTTGTGACATCGCTCGGTTCGCTTTTTCCACCTGCAGCTTCTCCTTATGCAATGGAGTCTCTCCCCACTGCCCAGTGCGGAGTTCCAGATCGGTCTGCCACGAGCTTTCCACAGGCCACTGGCCAGTCTGTGGCGCGGCTGTCCTTGGCTCATCCACCTCTCCCAGTTTGGATTCCTTACCCCAGTCCATGTCTGGGTGGGGCCGCCCAGGTGCTACCTGCAGGGGGGTGGGGGAGGGCTCATCAGGAATGTGTGGGCCCTGCAAGAAGCAGGGAACAAAGTGCCCCAGGGAGGACTGGAATGGGCAGAGCTACTGCGTGTTTTCCACTGGAAAAAGGAATAGTTTTTAAAGGGAAATTCAGCTCTGAAACGTTAATATCTTCATTCAGCCATTCCCACAAGTAGCACTCAGAAAAAAGTAGTTGGCCATCAGGTTCAATGTTACACTCTGGACAGTGGATCCATTTCTTCTCCCTTTTAAATCAGTGAAAAAGAAACTGCAATCCTCTCCCAACTTGCCTCTGAATCTGGGGGGAAGAATAATCTGGGGATGGGGGAGGAGATATTTTTAAAAAGTTCTTATTGGGGCTGGCACTGCGGTGTAGTAGGTAAAGCTCCCACCTGCGGCTCCAGAATCCCACGTGGATGCTGATTCGAGTCCTGGCTGCTCCACGTCTTATCCAGCTCCCCACTAATGCCCCGGGAAAGCAGTGGAAGATGGCCCAAGTGTTTGGGCCCCTGCCACCCACATGCAGGACCCAGAAGCTCCTGGCTCCTGCCTGGCCCAGCCCTGCCCATTGCAGCCACATGGGGAGTGAGCCAGCAGATGGAAGATCTGTGTGTCTCTCCCTGTCTCTGAAACTCTTGACTTTCAAATTATTTATTCATTCATTTGAAAGGTGATCTGTCCAGGCTGGCTCCTGATCCAGGGTGAGCCATTCAGAGGCCTGACCTGGAAGCGGAGGGAGAGCCTGCCCTTCACATGGCCTGGCCATGGTGACTTGCCACTCTCCAGTGGGTGCCAGTCTAGAGGGAGATAATGGCGCTGATCTGCAGGGAGAAACAGACAGGAGATGAAGAAGTGACAGAGGCACAGCTGAGCCCCCATCCAACCTGCAGCCTGGCTCTTCAACCCTTCCATCCACAGGTGAGGTGCCCCAGTGTCTGTCCTAATAGTGCATGAACATGTAAGTTACCCACTGCTACTTAAGAATTTGCCTCCGAGGGGCCGGTGCTGTGGCGTAGTGGGGAAAGCCTCTGCCTGCAGTGCCGGCATCCCTCATGGGCGATGGTTCAAGTCCCAGATGCTCCACTTCTGATCCAGCTGTCTGCTTTGGCCTGGGAAAGCAGTAGAAGAAGGTCCAAGTCCTCCCGCTTGGGAGACCTGGAAGAAGCTCCTGATTGGTGCAGCTCCAGCCATTGCAGCCAACTGGGAGACACCCCCCCCCCCCGCCCCGCCTCTCTTCTCTCTGTGGCTCTTTCAAATAAATAAATCTTTAAAAAAATTTTTTCCCTCCAGAGCTGGTGTTTGGCACAGCAGTTAAGACACTGCTCGGGATGCCTGCATCCCACATTGGAGTGCCTGGGTTATGTCCTGCTCTGCCCCTGATTCTAGCAGTCTTGCTAACGCGCATCCTGGGAGGTACCGGGTGATGGCTCAGTAGTTGGACCCTTGGTGCCTACGTAGGAGACCTGAGTTGGGTTCCCAAGTCCTGGCTTTGAGTGGGCCCACCACTGGCCATTGTGGGCATTTGGAGAGTGAACCAGCAGATGAGAACTCTGCCTCCCAGATAAATCTTTAAACTTTTTGCTTCAAAACTTAGTGACTCCAAACAACACTGAAACGACGAACATGTCAATTTTATGGCTGCTGTTCCTCAGGAACTGGAGAGTGGCGGTGGTGGCTCTGGCCAAGCTGTGGCGGGCAGGAGACACCAGCTGGGCGGCAGCTTCTGCGGGCCTGACCGAGCCCCCGGGGAGCTCTCCCACACGCCCCTTGCTGCCGGCTGCGGCAGGCAGGGGCTCTGCCCCTCGCATGGACCTCGCCCCAGGCTGCTGGGTGGGCTCACAATGGGGGAGAGCAAGGGGGAAGCTGCACACGCGGCCCCTGCCTCCCTCCGTTCCTTAGAAGTGGGTGAAGGTGTCAAGCCACCCTACAAGGGCCGGAGTCCCTGTGCCAACCGCGGGGCATCTACCTAACCCTGCGCTCTCTCCACTCAGCGCCGCCTTCTCGCTGCCTCTGGGACTCCAGCCTTGGCCGCCTCCTCACTGCGCCGGCTCAATGCTGCCCCCTGGGGGCGGGCGCTTGGCACCGCGGTTAAGACGCCATTTTTCTTTTTTTGGACAGGCAGAGTGGACAGTGAGAGAGACAGAGAGAAAAGTCTTCCTTTGCCATTGGTTCACCCTCCAATGGCCGCCGCGGCCAGCGTGCTGCGGCCGGCGCACTGCGCTGATCTGATGGCAGGAGCCAGGTGCTTCTCCTGATCTCCCATGGGGTGCAGGGCCCAAGCACTTGGGCCATCCTCCACTGCACTCCCTGGCCACAGCAGAGAGCTGGCCTGGAAGAGGGGCAACCGGGACAGAATCCGGCGCCCCGACCGGGACTAGAACCCGGTGTGCCGGCGCCGCAAGGCGGAGGATTAGCCTCGTGAGCCGCGGCGCCGGCAAGACACCATTTTTTGATGTCTGTGTTCCAAGTCAGGAGGCCTGGCTCCTGACTCCAGCTTCCTGCTAATGCACACCCTGGGAATCAGCAGTGATGGCTCAAGTCCTTGGGTCGCCGCCCGCCATCCATGTGGGAGACCCGGATGGAGTTCCTGGCTCCTAGCTTCGGCCTCTCCCACCCCTTGCTGTTGTGGGAATCTGGGGAGTGAACCAGTGGATGGGAACACACGCTCTCCCCAATAAATCAACAGCAGGGCTGTCCTGGGGAGACAGGGGGAGCGGCGAGGGGGTAGGGGGGTGGCGCGGCCCTCTGGGTTTTGCCCCATCTTCTCAGCTCTGATGGAGAGCATCTCTACTCCCACAAAGAGGCAGTCTGCCCATACAGGATACCAATCCCTCCAAACTCCACTGTGTAGACAGAGAATATTCATGGACCACAACACGGGCACAGCACGTGAATGGAACATCTGCCACTCTTGCTGCCCCCAAATCTGGGCCCAGAGCTGCTCTGGCTGCAGACCCTCACTCAGGAGTGAGTGGGACCACGGAAGGAGTGGACGGCCCACCTCCCGCCACCCACTGACAGGCAGGAGCCACGCAGCCGGAAGCTGGCAAACCCGTCAGGGTGCTCAGCTACAGGAGGCAGGCTGTGAGCAGGCTGAGGGCGACAGAGGGCAGGCCATCATGACGGGTTTCTCCTGGGAACAGGGAGGACTCTGGTCCCAGGACTCAGGAGCCCAAACCACGCCCACCCCCGGCAAACACTGACTCTGAGCCTGCTGCCACCCACGCCACCAGCCAGCGCGGCCGCAGCTGCCCCCGCGGACGCCCCACACCCCTCCTCTCCAAGTCCAGGGCAGAGAGGTCTCGTCGGCCGCGACAAGGCTGGGAAAGCCTCTGCAGCTCCCGTCGTGGGAAGTGGGCGCTGCCTCCCAGCAGGACAGAGGGTGGGGGAGCCAGGCAGCCCCAAGTCCTCGGCCTATGCAGAGTCAGAAACCGAGGGTCCGGGAAGTCTGCGCAGGACAGGAGCGAGCGACGACAGCGACAGCAAGAGCAAAGGGGACCTTCCCTTTCTTGGGGGAGGGGGGCGAGCGGTTTCCGAGAGAGGGAGAAATGGGACAGGAGGCGGGCTCTCCCTCCTGTCCCCGCAGCAACGGCACACAACTGGGAAGCACGAGACCGCCTGGGCAGAAGGAGACCGCCTGGGCAGAAGGAGGCAGCCCCTCCATCGGAGCGCCTGGCGCGTCGCTGAGGACCCCTCGGGAGCTTCCGACGTCTGTGGCCTTTAATTGACATCTACATAGGGAGCGTATCCCCTATAACGAGCGTACGGAAAGTCTCTGAGCAAAACAGATCAACTCCTTGTTTAGGCAGACGCCTGGGACACGGCGGCGGCCGGCGGGGTCAGTGTCTGGGGACCGAGGTGAATATCCGCAAGCCGTGCATCTCCTTGATTTCTTCTTTGAGCGCCTGCGGAGACAAGAGGGTGTCAGGACCGTCACTGTCTGCGTACTCTCACATCGCTTTACAGGAGCCCACACTCGCTGTGTGGAAGCCATCTTCCCCTTTCATTGCTGATGCTGGCATCCCATATGGGCGCCAGTTCGAGTCCTGGCAGCTCCACTTCTGATCCAGCTTCCCTGTTGATGTGCCTGGGAAAGCAGTGGAAGAGGACCTGAGTACCTGGGCCCCTGCACCCACACGGGAGACCCGGAAGAAGCTCCTGGCTTCAGTCTGGCTCAGCCCTCGCTGTTATGGCCATTTGGGGAGTGAACTAATGGATGGAAGATTTGTCTCTGTCTCTTCCTTTCTCTCTGTAACTCTGCCTTTCAAATAAATAAATAAATCTATTTTTCCAAACTGAAAAGGTGGGGCCAGCACTGTGGCATAGTGGGTAAAGCCACCGCCTGCAGTGCCAGAATCCCATATGGGCGCCGGTTCAAGTCCCGGCTGCTCCACTTCTGATCCAGCTCTCTGCTATGGCCTGGGAAAGCAGCGGAAGATGGCCCAAGTGCTTGGGCCCCTGAACCCACATGGGAGACCGGGAGGAAGCTCCTGGCTTCGGATCAGTGTGGTCAACTGGGGAGTGAACCAGCAGATAGAAGACCTTTCTCTCTGCCTCTCCTTCTCTATGTAATTCTTTCAAATAAATAAATAAATCTCAAAAAAAAAAAAAAACTGAAAAGGTATAAAAAGGCATACAGGGAGGTCTCTCCACACCTCTCCTCCGTGTCCCCTGTTTCCATGCTGATCCCCAAATAGACAACCATTGTGAGTTTCCTGTTTATCTCTGCAGCAATATAAAAACACATATCCAAGCTAGTATGCATACACAGCCACCCTCCGACCATCGACCTCGGAGATCTTCCCACGAGGGCTCACAGGGTGGCCTCACTACTTTCTGGCACTGTATTCCATTATATTATTTTTTTTAAAGATTTTATTTATTCATTTGAGAGGTAGAGTTACAGGCAGTGAGAGGGAGAGACAGAGAGAAACGTCTTCCATCCGTTAGTTCACTCCCCAGATGGCTGCAAAGGCTGGAGCTGCGCGGATCCGAAGCCAGGAGCCAGGTGCTTCCTCCTGGTCTCCCATGCGGGTGCAGGGGCACAAGAACCTGGGCCATCCTCCACTGCTTTCCCAGGCCACAGCAGAGAGCTGGACTGGAAATGGAGCAACCAGGACTAGAACTGGCGCCCATAAGGGATGTCGGTGCCGCAGGCAGAGGATTAACCTAGTGCGCCATGGCACCGCCCCCCACCCCCGTTATATTATTAAAACTTTCCAACCTGTCCCTGTTTCAACCACACCAACGAGCACAGATTTCCCACATTTTAGTTGTGAGCAGGAAATACAATCACAAAGTATTTGTGAGACCCGAGACTGCCGACAGTGCCAGCCAGGCCCAAGGGGAAAGAGCCACCACAGTCAAAGGGACGCTTAGCTCCTGCAGCACCACACAGAGAGGGTGCAGACAGCAGGCGCATAATCAGTGCAGAGGAGGAGGCAGAGTCCTTCCAGGCTAACCCCAACAGCGGGGACTGGCTGCCACAACAGACAGGCCTGACGCTGAGGGAGTGACGCCGAGCTCATGGCTGACCTGGGGCGGCACGTGACCGCAGACGGGCCAATCAGAACCACCCCTAGGGGTTCTCAGCGTGGAGCCGCCCCTGTCTCTCAGGTCGCCATGCTGGAATCGTCAGCTGGAGGTGGCTGGGACCATGTGCCCCCAAGGAGAGAAAGCCTGTCTACCTCTTGTAGGAGGAAAATGAAGCCAACACACAGGAGCTGAAGGCAGAGAGACAGAGACAGAGACACAGAGAATGAGCGCAAGCCAATGAACTTGTTGAAGACCTTGAATCTAGTTATGCCGGAAACCGGATGACCGCACTCATGGCCCATTCACTCCCTGTGTGCTCGTGCAGCTGTGCCTTGAACTCTGTCACAACCAGAAGCCAAATCATGCGGTCAGGTGTACAGAGGCAGAAGGAAGGATCCTTAGAGACAGTCCACGCCTATTCTTATTTTATAAAATAGAGTCTATCCCTTGTCCAAAGTCAGCACGCAAGTAACAGAACTGAGACCTGGACACAGGTACGCCGAGGTCGGCCACACCGGCTTCCACTGAGCTCCTGCCTGGTCCTAGTGCCAGGGGCTGCCCCACCTGGCCTGCATGGCACCCCCAACTCCACCCTCGTGAGCGAGATGTCAGCGTGTCATCACCATCGGAGGAGCACATAGCCCGGGGTCACCTGCTCTCTGCCTCCTGCGGGGGCACAGTGCTCCCCAGAGGCTGCCCCCGCCTCTGTGCCTGGGCCATGGCCAGCCTCCCTGCTGGGTGAGGGCCTGGTCACACCCTCAGGTGTAGGCCGTGGACGGGGGGCCCTTCGATGCCTCGTCCCCTTCCCAATGCGTTCTCCCGGCTCACCATGCACACGTCACAGCATCTCCTAACTACACAGGACCTGAGACATCACCAAGGTTGCTTTAAAGCTAAGGAAACTGAGGCCTTGGTGGGGGAAGGGAATTGGCCAAAGCCCCATGGGTGAGAAGATGTGGCTTGGTGGGGCCAGTGCTGTGGCGTAGCGGGTAAAGCTACCGCCTACAGTGCCAGCATCCCATATGGGCACCAGTTTGAGATCCAACTGCTCCACTTCCGATCCAGCTCCCTTCTAATGTAACAGTGGAAGATGGACCAAGTGCTTGGGCTCCTGCACCCATGTGGGAAGAAGCTCCAGGCTCAGACTGGCCTAGCTCCGGCCATTGCCAACATTTGGGGAATGAACCAGCAGATGGAAGACCTCTCTCACTCTCTCTCTGCCTCTCTGTAACTCTGCCTTTCGAATAAATAAATCAATCTTTAAAAAACAAAACAATGATTCACTAAAAAAAAAAAAAAGATGGAGCTTGGATAAACTTATTTCAGAGCGTGGCTGTGCTCACAGTAATGTCCGGGGCACAGAGGCCTGCAGTGATGGGTGCTGGCACGCTGCCAGCCAGCCTGGTCCTTGCACCCTGGAGCCGGCCAGCGGGGAGCTATGCACCCAGCCCGGGTGAGCAAGGTGCGGAAGGGCTGGCCTTGAGTCAGGCGCACACAGGGGATGGTAAGTACCAGGCCAGGAAGGGTGGGCCGGACTCGGCAGCAACCAGGGGCCCTACTGACGGGCTCTGAGCAGAGGAAAGGCAGGGCAGAGGCGTCCGTAGGGGAGGGTGATCAGGCAGCAGATGGGAAGGGGCCAGGGGAGGGAGGAGGGAGAGGTAACAGCTGTTCACCAGCCGCCTTCCTGCCCCTGCCGGGCCAGGAGCTGGGCGAGGCGTCTCTGCCAGGGAGGAAAGCGAGGCTCGGATCCCACCAGGGGAACTTGGTCACCTCACGCTACCCCCTCGTCTACACGCGCTGGTGCCTCCCCGGGGGCTGGACCCTAAGCAGCTGTTCAGTGAGTACTGCCGAGGACAAGGCCGGTGAACTGTGAAGCGAGGCAGAGGCTGAGCCCCGGGTCACGGGCTGGCAGGTCCCAGGGCCCAGGCACCCTCTCCTCCAGCCAGCAGGAAGTGCCCCTCCCTAGGGAATCAAGAGGGGACTCCAGCCTGAGGGGTTTTCAAGGCCAGATTCTACGGCACAAGGGGGACCAGGCAAGATCAAGGAGGGAAGTGTCACCCTGGCTCAGGCCCCTGGGTATCCATGCACCTGCCAGGGCACCTGTTCCTACTCTCACCCACTCCCAGGACAGTGCAGGTGACAGTCCCCAGCCCACCCCCATCCCGTGGGACTGCAGCATGAGGCTGGCAATGGCTTCCCACATTGAGTGGGGTTAACTGCGTGTCCAACGCTGTTCTCGGGGGGCCCCTGCTCTTTATCACTAATTCTCGAACCCTTTGGGGCAAGCGGGTTGCAAATTAGGAAAATGGGCACAGGTCAAGGTCACACAGCCAGAAAGCAGCAGAGGCCGGAATGGGAACACGGGCAGCCGGGCTCCAGAACCTGCACCCTTAACCTCCTGGAGCTGTGGCTTCAGGCCAAGGGTCGCACCTCGGGAGCTGAGCTGCACCAGGTGGCCCATGTCACTTTGAGAACAAACCCAAAGTCCCATAGGCTAGGGACAGTCTGGGCCAGGTCTGAGATCCTGTGGGGCTGCTGTCCCAGCCCAGCCCACCCTTCAAACCACCAACTGTGGGTGCCACATCCAAGGTGAAGGGTGAGGACCCGTGAGAAATCCAGTCCACAAAGGGCTAACAGGTCACAAGGGACACGGGGCAGGGGCTGAAGTGTCTGGGACACCAGCAGCCAAAAGAGGGAGTCAGAGAGTGGAGGGTGCCCTGCATGGGGCAGGGGGAAGGGAGAGGCAACATCTGGGCTGGTACAGGAGTCTGGAGCTGGGCAAAGGTGCGGGTGCAGAGAGGCCATCGGGCAGCGGCCAGGCGCAAGGCACGCAGAGAAGGGGGGGGGTCCTGAACAGCAGCTGGGGACACCCAAACTCCAAGTGCCGTGGCCACGGGAGAGACTCTGACAGCCAGAGCAGAGCTTTGCAGAGACCACGCCAGTTCACAACGTGCAGGGGCATGCAGCGGGGCCCTGGCTAGACACAGGCCCAGGAGTCAAAGCTGTACGGGTTCTAACTAAAATAAGCAAGGAAACAGTATAAACTGAAATAAGGAGACAGTATAAACTGGGCCCCGTTCCGGTTAAAGGGGATGTCGCAGGCCGCAGGTGTTCCGTCCTGGGTTGGGGCAGCTGGCACCACGCTCAGTCACTGCATGGATCGTCTACCCATCGGCCAAGCATCTCCTCCAGTCTACGCAAGGGCATCTTTTGGCACTGCCTATGTTTACCAATACTGTTCCACGTGTGACAGTGATGGCACACACAGGAAATGCAAGACACCCCCTGCGGTGCTTGTTTTCGATTTGGAACACAACTCCTGTTTGCCCAGTCCGATCCCAGGCAGGCTGGGCTGTATGTGGCTCAGGTCTCGGGTGCGGGTGGCATGAGCGTGATGTCGCATTGCTGTCCCCGCTCAGCGGGCCCCGGGCCCAGGGGCATGGTGACCCCCACTGACCTGATTAACCATCTGGTGCTGCTGGACAGTTCTCTTCTCCTTGAAGTCTTCCGACTCGATTTTGATCTCGTACATGGCCCCACAGCCCCCTAAAACAAACACACGTCACAAGCATAGCCATTCTCGTTCCAGCCGCCGCCCTCCAAGGGGGCTGACCTTGGAAAGGCAAGCTGCTGAGACGGTTAGGAGAGGAGCACAGCTTCCAGCAGGACCCCGGGTTCCTCCCAGGAGGCCGCCGCGGGCCAGAACGTGCCCGGCCCTTCTCCGGGCCGTGGCACTGGCCAGGGCTATTGCCTGCGGGCGAGAAAGATGCTGTGCAAAGCAAGGGAAACCTGGGGGACGCACAGTTCACTCAGCGCTTGGTGTCCATGGGAGACTGGTTCCAGGACCACCCGCCGCCCCCCCACCGCCAAGGATACCACGATCCAAGGATGTTAAACCCCTTGGGTAAACCGCCTAACATTTGCAAATAACCCACACACAGCCTCCTGCACACCTGCCGTCAACTTTCGGAGCAGGTAGCAGTTAAGACGTTGGCATCCTGTATCAGAGACCCTGGGTTCAATTCCTGGCTCCACCTCCCGACTCCAGCTTCCCACCAGGGCTCAGAAGGCAGCGGGATGGCTTCAGTAATCGGGTCCCTGCCGCCCACCCACATGGGAGACCTGGACGGAATGCCTGGCTCCCGGCTTCAGCCCAGCCCAGCCCTACCCACTGCAGGCATCTGAGGAAGTGAATCAGGGGACAGGAGCTCCCTTTCTCTCTCTCTCTGCTCCTCAAATGGATGATAAAGATACTTTAAAGACTCGTCTCTAGCTTACTTATTTATTTTTTTTGACAGGCAGAGTGGACAGTGAGAGAGAGAGAGAGAGAGAGAGAGAGAGAAAGGTCTTCCTTTACCGTTGGTTCACCCTCCAATGGCCGCTGCGGCCGGCACACTGTGCTGATCCGAAGCCGGGAGCCAAGTGCTTTTCCTGGTCTCCCATATGGGTGAAGAGCCCAAGCACTTGGGCCATCCTCCACTGCACTCCCTGGCCACAGCAGAGAGCTGGCCTGGAAGAGGGGCAACCGGGACAGAATCCGGCGCCCCCACCGGGACTAGAACCCGGTGTGCTAGCGCTGCTAGGTGGAGGATTAGCCTAGTGAGCCGCGGCGCCGGCCCGCCTCTAGCTTACTTATAACGCCTGGTACTCTGTAAGTGCTACATAAAGAGGAGTCTTATTTAGGAATAATGACAAGACAACAAAGTCTGCACACGTGCAGCACAGACATGGATTTTACAGGTTTGTTTTGGGGCCTGGGCTTGGTTGAATCCACAGACGTGGGGCCCTGGATAAGGACGGCTGAGCGTGTGCCCTTCCCTAGGAAGAGGGAGGGCACCGAGCTCCGGCGTTCCAGCTTCCCGAGGCCCAGCCCTGCGCTCGTCAACAGGCAAAACCGCTCTACAGTCTGGGGGTAAGCACAGCCACAGGGAAGAAAAGCAAGGAACAAGGAAGCCTGGGACCCAGGGAGGCAGAGGCCGGGCTCGGTGCTCTCTGCCGCCCCCTGTCCACGGTGCAGCATCCAGCATTTCACCTCGCCAGGCCGGAGCTTTAGAGCTAAGCCCTCAAGGCAGAGGTCCTGGGAACCCCACACGCTGCCTCCCAGTGGTGGGTGCTGGCAATGACGCCTGGGGCTAAACATGCTGCTTCAGCCTGAACCCACACGGGCAGGAATTGTGCTTTGGGTTGCTCAAAGGGCTCCAGCTTCCCTTCTGCACCCCATCAGGGCCAGGCAGAGCCAGACTGAGGGTCCAAGTTCAGCCCTGCCCAGGGGCCCCTGCAGAGCCCTCTCCTGAGGGTGGATCTGTGTCCAGGATAAAGTCTACTTCCTCCGTGTTCTCCCGCATCTTCGTCAACGCTATGCTCTCAGCGGAGTCGCTGGGTGCTCATGGCAATGCCGAGTGGCCGACGGGCGTCTGCTGGGGAGCTGGGAGTGGTTCAGGCCCACGCCCATCAGCTGCCTGTGGCTGGGCTGGGCCACGTGTGAGCGTCTGGATAAAGGGCCTATCTCCCCCGGCCTGTGGGTGCAGCCCCTGGACACATAGCCAGCTTGAGCTGTCAGCACCACGTGAGACAGGCAGGGCCCAGCACAGAGCCTGTCCCAAGTCCCGGCTCACGGTCTATCGCTTCCTCCCGGGATGGGACGGGCAGCTCTGCTGGCCTCTCTGGGTCTGGCTCCTCGAGGGGACAGCGACAGTGTAGCGCTGACATCCCAGGCCCTCAGGAGGGTGTGGGGGAGCCGGGGGAGGGCCCATCTCCCAGTCAAGTGAGTGACCGTGCACCTGAACCCTGGCGTGACTGAGCTGGGCAGGAGCCTTCCCCGCTGACCCATTGAAACCTTGTTTCCATCAGAGGGAGGGCTGGGTGCCCTGTGCCCGAGAGAAGCCCGCCGTGGGAGGCGCGGGCAGCCAGCTCCTCCCTCCCCCACGCCCCGCCCTCTGCCGCAAGCCAGGGCAGGACCCCGGCGGGAGGAGAGGAGCCTTACCGGAGATGTCGGTGACTTTGATAGCTGTGGCTCGAGGAAACTTCTCTCTGAGAATCTGGGTCACCCTGAGCTCCCCCTCAGTCTGTGAAGCAAACGTGCGACGGGCACAGCGAAGAGGAAGCTGCCAGAGAACAGAGGGGAGGGTCACGGCTCAGCGAGGCCGGGCCACGGGCCACGGCCACAGCCACGGCGCTGGGTGGTGCCAGGCGAGCAGGGATGCAGAACGGATCGTGGGGTGGAGGAGTGAGGGCAGCTCCGGGGAAGCAACTCCCCTTGAGTCTGGAAGCAACGAGGCCCTGACACATGCAATGGATACTCCACTCTGCACAACGAGGCTGTGTGAGGCCCTGTGCTCCGGGGGAGGAAACCGAGGAGTGGCCCAGAGCTGGACCCACCAGGAGGCTGCAGAGCCAGGACGGCGGCCGGGCAGCCTGTCCTCAGTCTGTCCCGCCAGGTGCTCCACGGTGGCCAAATCCCACCCAGCCTTAAGGAACAGGCTGCACACAGCCCAGCTGTGCCCCTGCCCCGTGCACTGGTCCTCCCCAGCCGGGAGACGCGGAGTTCTACTAAGCCACCTGAACAGGGAACACCTCCAGCCCCTTCACCACTGGCAAGCCCACCTCTCTCCCGCCCCCGCCTATCACGGGGCATCAGTACTGCTGACGGAACAGGTGCCAACCCTCGGGAGTCAAGGCGCAGGAAGCTGGGCCGGCAGCCGCACGGCTGGGTTGAACACATACTAAAAAGGGAGACCAGCAGGGGCCGTGACAGGTGAGGTCACAGGGGACCCAGATGGAGCTCGCGGCTCCTGGCTTCAGCCTGGCCCAGCCCCGGCCATTTAGGGAGTGAACCAGCAGATGGCAGATCTCGTTCTCTCTGCCTCTCCCTGTCACTCTACTTTTCAAGTGAATAATAACATAAATCTTTAAAAAAGAACAAAAAAGTACATGTGAGGTGATCTCAGGTGATGTGGCCCAGGCTCTTGGTAGCAAATGAACACAGTGCTGGGGACAGGGCTGTGGTGTAGCAGGTAAAGCTGCCACCTGCAGCGCCAGCATCCCATATGGGCGCTGGTTCTAGTCCCAGCTGCTCCACTTCTGATCCAGCTCTCTGCTATGGCCTGGGAAAGCAGCAGAATATGGCCCAAGTTCTTGGGCCCCTGCGCCCACGTGGGAGACCTGGAGGAGGCTCCTGGCTTCGGATTGGCCCAGCCCCAGCCATTGCGGCCAATTGGGGAGTGAACCAGTGGATGGAAGACCTCTCTCTCTCTGCCTCTCCTTCTTTCTGTGAAACTCTGACTTTCAGGGAGAATATAGAATACAAAAAAAGGAACACAGTGCCTTGGGAAGCCAGATGGGACAGACACCCAAGGAAGAGGCATCACAAGGGAAGCGGTGCGGGGCGCTGACCCCAGTGCCGCCCACCCTTGCACTGCCATGTGACAGCATCTCAGAGCGCCTTCTTTAAAACCAGCCGTACGCTGGTCTTCTCCCCACCCAGGCTGAAAGGGGAAGCCAGGCTAACTGTTCCAGCAGCCCCCAGCACTTGGTGACAGCAGATGAACGGAGCACACGGGGGAAGCGTGGCAGGCAGCCGACGGCAGGCCAGGAGAAAGGCCAGAGTCAGATTTTCTGCGAGCTACAAACAGGGACAGAAACTCGCCATTGTGAGCCCAGGGGGACTGCTGGGGTGAAGTGGAGGTGGGGGGCAGGGGTAGGGCTGCGCTGGGAACACAGGGCAAAGGAAGGCAGGAACCAGGGCAGATGTTTGGCCCAGCAGTTAAGATGCCCGTGTCCTGGGGTTGATTCTTGGCCCTGGCTCCTGACTCCAGCTTCCTGCTAAGGCAGACCCTGGGAGGCGGCAGTGACAACCGCTCAAGTAATGGGTTCCTGCCACCCACGTGGCAGGCCTGGGCTGAGTTCCCAGCTCTCTGAGTCCTGACCTGGCCCAGAATGGCCATTACTGGCATTCTGGCTGGAGCAAGGGTGAATCAGCAGATGGGAGCTCGCTCTCTTACATACATTAAAAAAAAAAAAAAAAAAAAAAAACTTTAAAAAAGGTAGAAGGTAGCCAGATGGCAAGCAGAACTGACACCTTCTAGGGCAGACTCCTTCCTCTCGCATCTACGGCATTGCCCCCTAACCCAAGAACCGCCTGACAAAAGCCGCAGGTGACCAAAGTCGCCAGCACGGCAGAGCGCCCCTACCCCGCGGGGGACGCAGGCTCCAGACCAGCGAAGGAAAAGGATTGCGGCAAGGGCTCAGGGGGTTCGGGGAGCGCGCGGCGTGTGCCCTCTGCTGAGAGGTCAAGGTCAGAGCCCGCCGGCGTTCCCAAGGACCGGACCCCTGCGCAGCCCCGGCACCCACGCCTCGACTCGGAACCCCGACTCCTAGGTCCTCGGGCGCCCCTGTGCCCACCGTATTTGACTTGTGTCGCGTCTGTGCCCCTGTCCCCGATCTCCGCCCAGCCCCGGAGCGCCCCCCGCCCCGATCGCCCCGGCTGTCCGAACGCCCGTAGCCAAGAGTGAACGAATGAATGAACGAATGAGTGAGTGAATGAGAGACAGCAAGCGGGGAACTCCGGCCCGGCGGCGTGCGCTCGGAAGCCGGCTCCTGAACCCCGACAGCAGCCGACCCCGCGGCCCCTCCGCAGCTCCCGCCCGGGGAGAGAGACCCCCCCCTTCCCGCCTGGGCTCCCCCCCCGGGGATTTCCCCGGGGGCAGGGCCCGTTTGTGGGGGGCGGGGGCCCCCCCCCCCCCATTGCCCCCGGCGACCCCCCCCCCGGCCCGAAGGGTTCCCGAAGTCTCCCCGGGAAGGGGGACAGGCGCAGAGCCGGGGACCGGGGGGCCCCGGAGCGAAGTCTCCCCCCCTCCTGCCCCGGGGGGCCGCGGGCCCGCTGGTCCAGGACCGTGGATATCCGCACCCCGGAGGCTGTGCACCTGCAGCCTCCGCACCCTGCCCTCCCCGGGAGACCCTCATTCCCACGCCCTTGCCCCGGCAGCCCGGCTTCCCACCAGAGGGGCTTGGGGAGGGCGCTCTTGGGAGCGGGTTACGGAGGGGAGGCACTTTCCGGCTTGCGAATCAGAAGGCTCCGCCTGGTCCTGCGAGGAGAGAGTGCAGGGTCTGACAGCGAAGACAAGAAGAGAAGGTCAGAGGCGGCTGGCATGGTCCGGGTGAGAACGGAGAAGCCCGAATGGAGGAGTGGGTTGGGACACTTGGGAGGTAGTAGCATGGAGTGACTGGATCCGGGGGACGATGGTGGGGAAGGCATGAGGTCAACTCTTGCAGTTTTGACTTCGACAATGAAACGGACAGAGGAGGGCTAGGCAGGGGGTGACTTTAAAGTGCTACAGGATGCGCCTCAGAGGCCTAGGTTGGAGGATGGGCCCCTGCCACCCACGTGGGAGACCGGGATGAAGCTCCTGGCTCCTGAAGTGACTTGTCAAGATTCAGTATGGTCTTCATGTAGATTAAGATTTTGGGGGCTGGTGCTGTGACGCAGTGAATTAAGCTGTATAGGCACCAGTTTGTGTCCCAGCTGCTCCACTTCTGATCCAGCTCTCTGCTAATGTGCCTGCGAAAGCAGCAGAGGATGGCCTAAGTGCTTTGACCCTTTCCCCAATGTGGGAGACCTGGAAGAAACTCCTGGCTTCAGCCTGGCCCAGCCCTGGTCATTGTGGCCATCTGAGGAGTGAACCAGCAGATAGAAGACCTCTCACTATCTCTGCCTCCCTCCCTCTTCCTCTCTCTGTAACTCTGCTTTTCAAAAAAATCTTTCAAAAAAAAAAAATAGAGTGACTAAAAATATGCTCATTCCCTCCAGTATGACTTGAATGACACCTTTGTTCTGGCTTTCTTTCTCTTTCTTTTTAAAAATATTTATCTATTTATTTTGAAAGGCAGAGTTACAGAGATGCAAAGGTTGAGAGTTAGAGAAAGGTCTTCCATCCTCTGGTTCACTCCCCAAATGGCTACAATGGCTGGAGCTGTGCTGATCTGAAGCCAGGTGCTTCTTCAGGTCTCCCACATGGGTGCAGGGGCCCAAGGACTTGGGTCATCTTCCACTGCTTTCCCAGGCCACAGCAGTGACCTGGATCGGAGGTGGAGCAGCCAGGTCTTGAACCAGCACCCATATGGGATGCCAGAGCTTCAGGCGAGGGCCTGTTCTGGCATTTTGATTTCTCCTTGGGTTACTATTCATAGCCTCTCTTGTGTTTTCTGATAGATTCCTTAAAAGTAGTGGTCAGTGGGGCTGGCGCTGTGGCATAGCAGGGAAAGCCGCTGCCTGCAGTGCCAGCATCCTATATGGGTGCCAGTTCGAGACCTGGCTGCTCCACTTCTGATCCAGCCCTCTGCTATGGCCTGGGAAAGCAGTAGATGATGGCCCAAGTCCTTGGGCCCCTGCACCCACGTGGGAGACCCGAAAGAAGCTCCTGGCTTCAGATCGGTGCTACTCCAGCTGTTGTGGCCAATTGGGGAGTGAACCAGTGGATGGAAGACCTCTCTCTCTCTCTCTCTCTCTCTCTCTCTCTCTGCCTCTCCTTCTCTCTCTGTGTAAATCTGACTTTCAAATAAATCTTAAAAAAAAAAAATAGTGGCCAGTGTGATTCGGAGTGATTTGTTAACTTTTACATTGTCTTCTCTGATGTCAACTACAGAATTAAAATTGCCCCAAATATTTTTTCTAGGGATGTAGTGGTGAGCCACTTCTCTGCTGTTCAAACCACTTGGGTCCCATGAAGCAGACCCATGCCCCTGGCTGTGGGAGTGGACACATGACCCAGGTCTGACCAATCAGGCGTTGGTTTAGGATTGGTCACGTGATCTCAGCCTAACCAATAAGTTGACCCAGGGTCTTCTCTGGAACTAAAGAAAAGTGATCTTTGTCAGTTGGGTCGCTGAGCTGACAATATTGGTGCGGCTGGTCCCAGAACCACTGCAGACCAGCTTTGCCACACGTGGCCAGAGTTGCTCTGTTAATGAAGCGGACGCCGAAGAAAGGCAAGCTGAGAGGAGAGAAATGCTTGACTTCTCTCGTACAACCGGAAACTGGCAGTGCTGGAAACGAATGCTCATGCCGGTTTCATTGGGTTCCTGGTTTGTAAACTGAGCGGCCTGCGTTACACTCCCAGGTTTGTATGTGTTTTGCCAA